ACACAATAGAATCGGAAATGGTTATTAACAGATGTATTTAATCAAAAAAGGAGAAAATCAGTCAATTGGTATACTAGTTACAATTATCTCCTTTTTTCTCTTACATGCTTTACTTATAAAAACGCCTTAAAGTGGCATCAGTATTCTTTCACTTATCTTAAAATGCTATATATAACATTATTATAATCAAAAGCATCACAGGAAACTTATCACTTTCCTATCAGGAAAATGACAAAATCTTTTTTTTAGCAAGTGACAGGTGACACAGCTAAATTAATTTGGCTGATTAACATTTGTCACAACAGGGCTGACCAACAGGGGGTCTCCTGTGAAAGTCACAAGATAGTGTTGCCTGTAGCCTCTCAATGCAATCCAAGTTGCACATTAGTGATGCAATCTTTGCACCAGAATACTGTCTTGTTGGATGTGATCCCTTTCCTCTTGAACAATCTAGACATGTGTGTCCCTGTTCACCGTTCTTCACATGCTATATTTAGAGACTGTATGTAAATGAAGCCGTTACTAATACAGTATATGCAGCATGAAGACATGCATTGTCTTGCTGGAATGTTATCCCATCAGGATCAATCCACAGGAGGGGCCAGAGGTGAGGTGCCAAAACTAGGTCAATGTAGCAGTGCAGTCAGGCTGCTATCAATCACTACAAGTGGAGTTCTGTAGCACCTACACCTTCCTGCTGCTCTGCTGGTGAGTACCCCTGAGTTATAGCTCCAATTTACAGTACCAATTGCATTGAAGTGCTTAATAAGCAGACCTTGGTTGTTCCTTTCAGTGTTTTCCTTTCTTGATTTTCACCAGGCTTAATAAAGCATCTCATCACTTCAGCTCACTAATGGGGTGATTCTTGTACTATGGAGCTGCAGATACCTACACACAAATGGGATGTGTGTGTTTATGTGTTTATGTATTGCAGATCCGATCCTCCTATATCATCCTTAATACAATGTGCGGAAACAATAGAAAAATGAAACACAATACCTGGGTATATAATAATTGGAATTAAAATTGAATAAATTATGCTTAAGGTTAAAAATACACTAGGAAGTCCTCACTTAGAATTTTGTGTTCATTGTTGGTCACCAGACTACATAAAAGCCTTAGAAAGAATTCAACAGGAATGATTCCTGGTCTCAAAGAATATCTCTTTTTTATGGCTATGGGAGCTAATATTTTATGAAGGTTCTGTTCCATTGTGTGATTGTGATTGAAGTGTACAGTGTGGCAGCTGTTTAAGGGACAGGCACTGGAACATTGTTTGGTAAGTTCCATTACTTATTTGAGCAAGCACTGCCACATCCATACATAAACAGTGGCAAGTCTAACCCTCGTTACAAAATGTTAATAGTTTCTGTTGTTCATGTCATTTTGCTTTAATTCTCATTCTGAACCCCTTCCCAATTACAGTGATGTCAACAGTCTGCCTAACATATGCTGGTCTCATACAACCGTACAGCATTTACTGATGTCATGGTTATACCGTATGCAGCAGTTTGTTAACAGTTCCCAGTGGTGCAGCATTGTAATGTCAGCAGCTATTGTAATGGTTAACTCCCGGGTCAACATTTTATGCTTCCTTAGTTTCCAACACTACCTCTCATATTGGAACAGTAATTCTCCAAAGAACAGACACCTTCCACTCCATCATGTTTAAAAAGTATTCTATACAATTTTGATTAGCATTATATTTCCCCTGAAAGGCTGTCCAGGGATCAGTTTCACAAATGACTTCTTGGTAGGAGTCTGAAAAAAGAGAATACATTTCTGTTGCATCTTTTAGTGTCAGATACAGTGCAATTACATGCCCTTTTCTGAACAGGATCAATCTTCTAAAAGAGAATGATCTCATTTTTATTTCTGTACTTCTCTAGACATTCATACTATTTTTATTAAAGTTCACCTTTAAGAGGTGATAAATACATTTTAAATTGTTACTATTTTTGCATTTGGCCTTGATTGAAGATAAATACTTATCTTCAATTCATTTCAATTATGTATAGCATAATTGATTGAGTAGTTGCCTTTATTATGCAGATACATTGAGGAGCTCCAGAAAATCTTTTGGTTATACACTAACTTAAAACACATGGAGAGAGTATAAGTTCATTGCTTTGTTAATTGTGAACCTTTTTATATGAATAAGATAATACCTAAAAATAATAATTGTTTACAGCATTGGAACTTGTATATTGCAATAGAAAACTACTTTCATACCAGATATTTATCACATATATATACTGTATGCAGCCAGCACTCTGATTTGTCACCTTATTCAAACCTATCCCTTTTTATCTTACATTCGTTGATCACAAAATCTGGAAACGACAATGGACTGTGATTGTTTTCTAGATCACATGACATCCTTGATTCCATCACAGCCCTTTAGCAGGCACACCCATGTAGCTACGGGAGCTCTCACATCAGGGAAGCCAATCTTAATTAGGGTACTGAAGAGTGCAACATGGCTCACATCAGTGAACGCATAACTCACATAGTCAATGAAAACAATTAATAATTGATTACGAGTCTCCTGTCCTGACTGGTTGCTTGCAGGTCAGCTAGCAGGCATGACTCCACTTGACCTAAAAGGCATTTTGCAATTTGACTTTCTTCTAAATTTTAATAATTTAGAAAATGTTTTCATTTATAGGGTTAAATTATATAATACCACATGATATATAGTTGTATATACCTGTTGCCTCTGAATCTCCATATCAGTTCTCACACAGAACAGGGATTATACATTCACTGGCCACAATATTAGGAACTCCAGTCAAAGGTACGGTCTCTCTGTTGGGGAGTGCATTTCTGGCATGCAGTGCAGTAGAACAGCTTCTATCAATTTCCCTGGCCAGGTTAATTCACAGATCACAGTCCTACTGAAAGCTGGAGGAGCAAATGAGATGTACCTGTACATTTTAATCTCATACACTGCGCCACCCATTACAACTGAAGAAGGAAAAGGAAGGAGCTGCAAATACTTATGAATCTTATGGCTAAATCCTATTTGAACTGTTTTTCCTGCTTGCAGTGGTCCTACACATTAGTTAGTGAGAGTGCATTTAGTGTTCTGCTATATCTGATCTCTTTCTGCCAATATGGGGTGGATTTTGATTGAAAACTACTTCATCAGAATGTATTGAACCATTAAATAAACTGAGCTCCATATTAAATCCTACCCCACTCAGTACTGAGTTTTGGAGGTACAACTGCTCTTTAGAACAAAATTGCATAACATTTCTTAATCCCTTCATCTGGGTATCCTGACCTTCCCAACGCATGTTAAAACATCTATTTTGTTGTTGTTCTCGCTCCTGTGATTATCTTTTAAATTCTTTACAATTTTTACTTTTCTATTTAAGATAGGAAAGTTTTGTTGCCACAAGTTTTAATGTCACTAGGGTTTTTGTTGTCTAAAAGGAAATGACATCACACTGGTACAGTAACTGCAACTTCAAGAAGACTGCAGGATAAAAATACCCACCCCCACCCAAAAAAGATTTATTTTATCACAGATGGTTATCAGTATTACAAACAGACCACTTAGCTCGTTTGACCCTTTATGATACAAAACATGACTGTCATTTTGTTCAGGGTTGTCATTATTGCTGAACACACCGCCGTCTCATTTTTATCAGACAAAATCAGATGTTTTCCAGGAACATAGGGCCCTATCATTATTTTACCCTTAGATAAACGTGGTGACGCATCAGATTACTTCTTTTCGAAAAGAACTGAACTAAAACGCTGAGGCACGTTATGATAACCTCAACTAACGAAAAGGACCTGGCAGATTAGGGAAAATCGATTAGGATTAAAATAATTAAACGAGTATTAATAAATGTTAGTATAGTGAGTTTGAACAGCTCTTTTGAAACTTCTGCCTTCTATCTGTTCTCATCAGATTCTTTACTACATTCCCGAGACAAGAATGAATCTGAATGCGAGTATGAATTAGGGTATTGAAGACTAAGTATTATGCATTTTCAACGTCCGTACCATTGACCATCTTCTTATTAAAGGGTTCCTGTCGTTGAACCTCTGAAAGTACCTTGCGAGGATTACTGTTTGTGCAGAAGACGTCTTTGGGTGTCTGTCAGTATTTTAGCAGAAATCAAATACAAGTTTGTGTTTAGAAACCATAATCTTACATATGCTGTCTCCTCAGCGAGACAAATGTCAATAAAATGCTCTAGGACCAGTGACTTCCCACCTAATCGATGAGTTTACGTTTCTATAGTACCGAAAAAAATATACATAATTGCTTCAAGCACTCATTAAACATTTTTACATTATAGCGAATGGATCACTAATAATTCCAAGACACAATTTAATGCCGTACTTCATTTCACCTTTAAAGGTTAATAGCTGAGGAATTACAGAAACGGTAATTTAGAGGAGATATTAACCCCCAGTTCTTGAAAAAGTAATGTGTAGTCTAAGGATATATAATTAACCCCCTCCCCTACGCTCAAACACTCCCCTGGAAAACATAGCTGTATTATTTAATCAATTCACGTTAATGTATAATTTGGTTTAAAGCAAACGGCAGATTAAATTGGAAAGAATAGAAGAAGACAAGGACATTTTTAAGGATCGTACATCTGCCGCATTATTGGCGCTACGTGAGAGCTGTTGTGTCCTGGTCTCGATCCAAGACTGGTGCACCTTCTGTGTGGTGTCTGGATGGTCACCTCGCATGTTCGCTTGGGCTTTCGCCGGGCCGTACTGGTTTTCTTGCTTCCTGAGACATCCTGTCTAGTTTCACTGACGATTATAAAATGTGCCTGTGTTCCTGGCGTTCATTTCAAGCGCAGCCCTGCCTATTGCCCTACGTTTCCAAGAATGGCTATGGGCTGTGTCGACCCTTCCCAGGAATACGCGGTTTTCTCGTACTGGATGGGGAAAATCGAGTTAACGGCGCTAGGATCCTGAGGAGAGCGATCCTTCCTTCCCTCCCACTCCTCCGTCTTTTTCTCCCAAGCCTGTTTTAAAGTCTCTGCCAGACTCAGGCTCACATGCTACTTCCTGGATGGAAGAATGGAAAGCTTCCAGCTCAGCTCCAACTATTCCTTTTCTGTTTTTGCAAGAGCCGCTCCAGCTCCTCTCTGCATGGACTATTGCTCCTGCTAGTAGACAATTCTTTTATTTTTCTCCCTCCACACCACCCGCGGTACATAAACTAAAGAGGGCTTCATCACGACTCCTTTGCCCGTCATGAATTTCCGTGAGGATATGAAGAAGCTGTTTGCATGAAGGAGATTTTAAGCAAGTAGGACTGTGTCTTTGCCATTGTAACTTCAAGAATTCCTCGAAACAGAAGCTAGCATTTGTTGCTGCCGAGTTACATCTGGCCCCGCGGTTTTGCCTCAGTAACTTGTTTTTTCTCTTATTCGTTTGCCTTTGCTCTTTTTTGCACGTTTAACTTTTGTCAGTAGTTGGCTTTTGTTGCTCTCGATGTGTATTGTGACATGCGGAGGCTACTGGAATCGTGTCGCTGGTGGATCTTTTCTTTGATTTTGTCTGCCTCTGTGCTTTTCTGGGCCGACTGTCATCCTGGTAAGTAAAATACTGGCGCACATCACAAGTTTTTGATTTTTAGTTTTCTTTTAAAATTTTGATGTAGTATTTTCCTAAAGTGAAATTATACATTGTGCAAAAACACAACAGACAACAGAAGGTCTCACGCTTAAACGGCCCTTAACAAGAAAACTAGTCCGTAAAATGAGTTACTTAAGAACACACACATACAGTACATATACATGTATACCCTTCTTGGAAACCAAATTTCAGCTAAACATTTCAGTAAAGTTTTAGAGAATGCGGTAGGTTCAAAGTGCAGTGAATTTGACAGCATTTATTTTTTATGAACTTTTATCACTGTAGCCTAAAAATAAAGAACTCCAATAACACAGAATGATAACGATACTTTCAAGCTGCAGTTCCAGTGCTGTTACAGCTGAAAGCGCATCCCAACCGATCCGTTACTCGCAACATCCTTGGTTTAGCGAGGAAATGTTAACTGCGTTTAGATTATGTACGCGATGCAGAACGGCATATTGTTACATATTAGTTATATTCTAGTTGTAAGAAGTGACAGGAAATGGCATACACATGCAAAGCGGATCGTTCTGCTGTAGCTCAGCTCCCTTAAGCACTGCAGAATGGTTCTAGAACCTAGAGATTTTTGAGAGGATTTTTGTTCCGAATCGGAAATTGATCCTGCACGACGACTTTAGTGAGGAGACAAACCTTTTTGGTGCCCTTTCCTGTGCAAATTCCCGTAATAGTCATTTGTTTTTTGGCGCAGTGCTCTCCTAAGCAGAATTTAGAGTAGAGTGAAGCAAAACGGAGCTAGCAGGGGCTAGCTTTTATCCGTTACATTCTCTGTTTCTATGCAGCTGTGTATATTTTTGAGTCTTGGAATGGTTTTAGATATATTGAATCGATATGTTGCGAGGATAATTCAGCTGTTACCAGTTTACAGAGAAAAAAGGGAGGTGGTGTGTGTGTAGGGGGTGTTATTGATTGACCATCCTTTTCGGCTGACCTTGACAGAGAGACGAAACAGATTCCCATAGTTTTTAAATCTGCGAGAATCGAGAGTATACCGAACAATTCCAGAACAAAAATAATTACGCACATATAAATTTAGATCGTAATAGACAGGTTTCTCTGAAATGAATGTTGCTGCGTGTTTGAAATATGAGCTGTGGCTTCTAAATATGTTAGCTTTGATCAAAACAACACAAGAGGGTTATTAAACACCCCTTCTCTTCACGATCAGAACTACCCCGTATTTGATGTATTATGTAAGAGTCTGAGAACATATGGAATACTGAAATAGCGTTCGCTGGGTTCATTTTTGTATATTGACTTATAATTGCCAGAACTTTGTCTTTTTAACTCTTTATCGATTAGCCATGAGTAATACGGATATGTACTCTTATCTCTTTCCGAGTTTTTAAGTTCTAGCACACCGGTCTGTTTTGTAAACCCATCTAAAGGAAAAAGGAAACAACATCGCATAACATAAGTTCATTTTGATTCATGGGTTGGGACTGATAGAGGGAGCAAAGTAAAAAAATGTTTTTAATTCTGTAGCCCAATAGAAACTTGATGAGTTCAGCCCCCGATCCTGGTAACTGTTCTTTTCCTGTCTTAGAATATTGTACTCTACAGTAATCACATTTAGGAGACACAGACTAGAAATATATTAGAAAAAAAACACGCTCTGAATGTTGGCTCCCAATGACATTCTCGCAAGTCCTGATGCATATTGATGGTGGTTAAGTCTGGTTTAAATTAAGCGGCGAAATGTGTAAGAAAGATCAATTCTTCCTTTCTGCCCATTCCCGCGTCTATAAGGCGTGCTGATCAGGTCGGCGCAACACCGACATTATTCCGCCAAAATATTTTTTGCCCTGTCGGAAAACCAGCATATTTTGTTTAACCTACTCTGAACGATCGATGTCGACTGTTCGAGTTAAATCAAGTGTTAAAAGAACTTTGGCTTAAGTTTATTTTAATGAAAGTAAAACCAGTTTTAAAATTATTCCTAGTGATTTTGACTTTATAATGACAATAAACGGAGTTGTTCTTCTAGAAATTAGTGGGGAAAAACTTTAACAGAGTGACCCACTTTTAAAATAAACCTTTGAATGTTTCTCTCATGTCATGAGTAGGCTAGATTTCTTCAGAATATCTAGAATAGTTTTTAAATAAATAAAGCTTGTATTTTGTTTTACATGTGAGTTTATTACATGAGAGTTGTTTTTTCACAAAATCCTTCATACTATTTATAAAAATACATTTTTCCTTTACCATGAAAAATACTGGTGTTAAAATGAGTAGTAAAACTCAGATTTGTATATTATTTTTTAAATTGTGTGTGTATATATATATATGCCGCCTCATTTTCTACTTAACACCCTTTCAGCACTGTTAAAAATAGCCTATGGTCCCAACATTGTAGAATTATTCCTCATTGCTCTTTCCAGGCTTTCATCAGGCAGCCTGTCCTGGATAATTCCTAAGAGTAATAAATCAATAGGAAGATTCCAAAACAGTGCAAGGGACAGTGCGGGAATTTCTTTATCCAACACTATTAGCTTCATTTGAAAAGTGATTAATGTTCAAATAATAAGACACTGTCACAAAAGGACAGATACCACGCTGAAGGACATGGTTTTAAAGATATCCTTGTCTCTCTCTCTAGGTCCCTAGCATGTGTAGCTGTATCTTGTGGGCTTTTGTGAAGGTGCCTGCCTAAGTAAAATCAGTGGAATGAAGAACAAAAGAAACAAAACTATTCATCCTCTATTTTTTCACCTTAAAATGTGTGGCACTTGTTTTATTATGGTAGCTGTAAAGGTTCCGTTAAACCTTTTGCCAGAAATCCCGGCTGTCTTGGACTGAGAATTGCAATAAAGCCTCTCATTGTATTGTTTGGACACACAGCCAATTTTAAACAGCCCTTGCTCTTTAGAGAGTGACAAACGGAGAAAGAAAAAAAGATTTTGTGTGATTTCATTGTCATTTTACCGAAGTACTGTTTATCCAATAGAGGAAGCTGCATAGCATTAATTTGGAAGATGATCTTCTGATAAATGTGGCCTGTATGAGTGCATTTTTATGTAACACTATAGAATGATCGCTAGGATTTTACAGTGTCTTATGGAAAATAACATACTATCTGAGAAATGATTATGATAATGTGACCTCATCTCTGAAGAAAAGCATGGTAAATGGATGCAATTAATCAAAAGAATAAAAAGAGTAATAAAAAATGAATCCTTTTAGAATTCTGAATTTTAGTGCTTCTTTTTATGCTCTTGAAAATGGGTATCACTGTACTCTACTTTTTTGATAAGTGTAATCATGCTGACTTTGCAATGGACCTGCAAAACAGCTGTAGTAAATGCAAAATTGCTGAATACAAGACATTTCATTCTATAGAGGTACTCTGGCCCCAATATTGCACCTGGATTTAGTAATGCATCCATATGTTTTTTTTGAATCGCATACATTTATCTATTTCCATATAAATGTTTTAGTACAACTTCAATTACAATAGAGTTGTTTACCTAAATATTTTTCTAGAATAGTTTCATGAAACTGGTCTTCATTGTTTGAGAGGCCTGCAGCCAAGTATATTCTCTTTTTCCAAAAGTTAAATGCCGTTTTTTAAAGATACTTTGCAGTAACCTGTTTTTATCCATGCTCAGGAAAGTGGGACTTTTAAAATTCCCGCTGTGTGATGGTAAAGGTTGACATTGTAGATGATTAGATGTGCACCTGGTTTCAGTAAAAACATTATCATAATCATCATCTTCATGAGAAGCATTTGTCTGTATAATGCTGGACATAACTAGCTCTAATACCTGCCAGGTCTCTTTATCAGATGCAGGTCCTGTCATCATTTTGTCGCATCTTAACCGATAGATTAAAAGATATTTGGATTTGCAAAGTTAACTGTGTAGGTCTCTGTCAGACTGCAATAAAGATGTGATTTTTAAATTAAGAGTTCAGAATAATGAAAGAGGAAGGAAGGCTTTTTAGTCTTTCTTTGTCTTGTGTTTTGAGAAAATAAGCATAAGCTTCTTATTAGCTAAAAATCTGCGAATGATTCCTCCCTTGGTCAACTAATTCTTTCCTTAATCGGTTTTAGGCATGTGCTTAAAGACTATAGAATGTGTTCACAGGGAAATAAGTAACATTGAATATGTTACGAAGATTCCAGACTGCTTCCCTTTCTCTCTTCATTTCTTTAAAGCTTAATGGTGTGCTGTATAATTTGTTTCTTTCAACAGAGGGCTCTCATGTTGCTTTTTCATTGTTTCAGTCGGGTGGGAAGAAACAGTCAAGACTTTGAATTATTATGTATAGGAAGGGTGGACATTTCCCATAATTCTCTGGAAGGGTTTGAAATGTTAATTGAAATCAGCTACAGGTTTTTTCTCGTCCTGTTGGATAATGCCTAGATGTTTCCTGTGTGGGGCTGTTGGTCAAAGCAGTCTACTTGAAGTGATTAGTGAAGTAATGGTGTATGCTGGACATGCTCAGGCCGTGAAGATGACAATTTTTAATGCAACCTTTCCTGTTGGTCCCTATGAGTGATGGTATCAGACAGAAACACAAATCAGGACATGATTTCCCTTTCAAATACTGATGGAACGATGGATGACGGGGTACTTTGAATGCAAACACAACTCAGCAGTGATATCAGAGAAGGGAATGAGAATGACTAGTAAATGTTACAGAGTGGAGTCAAACAAATGATGCCCTTTGATGTTCTCTCTACATTAGGCTTTGGCTCTTCCTGAGTTACTTAATGAAGAGAACTGTGTGCCGGGGAGGACTGCACTAGAATATCAGAAGCAGAGTGCAGGATGCAATTCGGCCTAGTGACAGCTGTTGGAGTATCTCTGCTAAAGAGGATGTCAGTCTTTTGGATAGGATGCTGTTAAAGCCCTTCATCTGACAGCAAGTTTATTCTGGCGTCAGAGAGACAGCAATCTGATACTACAGGCAAACTACTGTAACAAAAGAAAAAAATG